AGCTCCTAGCCAAGTCCCTGGGGATGGCTCGGCAGGTCCCGGGCAGGCAGGGAGGCTGGCTGGGGGAACCCTGCCTGACTTGCCCCTCCCTCGTCCCCCCAGGAGCTGCGGGAGCGCGTGCTGCGAGGCAAGTACCGCGTCCCCTTCTACATGTCCACAGACTGCGAGACCATCCTGCGCCGCTTCCTGGTGCTCAACCCTGCCAAGCGCTGTACCCTGGAGGTGAGAGCCCCGGGGAGGGGCGGGTGGCAGGGTGCCCCGGGGAGAACTGGGACCTCATGGCATTCCCCTGTCATGGACCCACAGGGGCTGGTCTGTGCTCAGTCCCTTGGGTGGGCCGGGCCCCAAGGATCCCCAGTTTTGCAGGGCCAGGCCCATGGCCTCCAGGACTGCGAGACTGGGCCTTGGGCTCCCGCGACCCCGGCTCCCTGAAGCAAGTCCAGCCCCACCGGCATCCTGCAAAGCCTGCACCGTCCCTTTCCTGGCGCGATGCTTCACAGCAACTCCGGCAGCCTCAGCAGAGCAAGGCAGCCGAGCTGGGGCTAGCATGAACGTCCCGGCCACTGGCTTTCTGGGCCCTCCATCCATCTGGGTCGGTTACGGCCAGTCCTGAACAACCGGTTGGCAGCCCCCAGACAGTGCGGTGACCCACCTCCCAGCCCCGCCTCTGGCCCCGGAGTAACTGTTTAACCCTTTACACCCTGTGCAGAGCAGTGCAAAGCCCAGAGGGAAACCGAGGCACACAGGGGCCTCATAAAAGTATTACCAACATTCCCACTTCCTCACCCTGCCGCTCCTGTGCTCCGTGGCCCCATTTACCCGCCCCCCAACTCTGTCCGTGGAGCTGGGACTCCATCCTTGCCCTCTGCTCTGTGCCCCCCGAGTGGCAGCAATCCCCACGGGGGCGAGCTCTCATTAAGCTGATGCTGCCTGCGCGGGGCCCTGCCTGGCGCTGTCTCCCCAATGACTGTAATTAGTGTAATTGACTCAGGGGATAATTACAGGGTGTCTGGGACCCAGGCAGGCTCCATGTAGCCCCCACAGAGCTCAGCCCCCTGGGCGGGTGGGGTCTGCGGAGCCTGCAGGGAGGGGAGGTGCAGCTCCCGCAGGCCCATGGGGGCTCCTTGGGGGCCAGAATTTGGGCTACCGGGCTCCCTGCCCCACAGCAGTGGGGATGGGGCCCAGGTGCACTGGAAGGAGTGCGCTGAGCCCTTTGTCTCTATTCCTGGTCTGCAGCTCTGTCGGGGGTGGGGGGCCTGCCCAGTGGGGGCACCTGGTGGAAAGACACAGCCTGTTCCCCAGCGGGGAGATGCAGGCTGTGTCCTGAGGGGTGCTGGGCGGGGAGACTCGGCCCCTGTCCCAGTGGGGGTGGGGGTATGATGGGTGCCTGGCAGGGAAAGACAGGCCCTGTCCTGGGGCAGGGGCAGAGTGATGGGTGCGGGGCAGGGAGACTTGGCCCCTTCCCATGCGGGGGTGATGGGTGCATGGCGGGGGGAATGCACAGCCCCTGTCCCGGTGTGTGGGGGGGTGATGGGTAAGTGGCAAGGGACAGATGTGTCCCTTGTCCCAGTTGTGGAGGGGGAGGAGTGCGTGGTGGGGAGACATGGCCCCTGTCCCGGTGCGGGGGTGTGTGTGTGTGTGTGTGTGTGTGTGTGTGTGATGGGTGCGTGGCGGGAGGCAGACGTGGTCCTGTCCCGGTGTGTGTGGGGGATGGGTGCGTGGCAGGGGGGAGACACGGCCCTTGTCCGGATTGTGTGTGTGGGGGGGGGGTGTTGGGTGCGTGGCGGGAGGCAGACACGTCCCCTGTCCCCATGGGAGGGGGAGGGGTGCTTGGTCTCGAGATCAGGGAGGCCCGAACCCCTCTAATCCGTCCCGTCTCTCCCAGCAAATCATGAAGGACAAATGGATCAACATCGGCTACGAGGGCGATGAGCTGAAGCCCTACAAGGAGCCTGAGGAGGATTTTGGGGACACCAAGCGCATCGGTGAGGGCCCAGGGCCCTGCTGTGCTGAGTGGGCACCACTGCTTGGACCCCGATGGCCAAGGGGGGGGGGGGGGGAAACGCCCATCGGGATCATTTGCCCGCAGTCCCTTTGGGGTTCAGGGAGGGGCTCTGCTTGGCGCCAGCTTGGGGAGGGCTCACTGAAGTGGCCCGAGCTGACTGGCTGTGGGACAGAGCGAGGCCACGGCCTGGACCCTTGTCCGACTCCCCCCAGGGCAGCTGGACGTGGCCCCTTCATCCCGGCCCCCACAGGGCTCAGTAGTACCTGGGCAAATGGGCGCTGCCCATGGGCCCAGCATCTAGCCCAGGGGACACTGGGCTTGTGCCATCCGGCGGGGGCTGGGCACCGCATGGCACCTGCCCCGGGGGGGGGCGTGTTTGTGCCAGAAGTGAATCCAGCCCTTCTCTCCCAGAGGTGATGGTGGGAATGGGATACACCCGCGAGGAGATCAAGGAAGCCCTGAACAGCCAAAAATACAACGAGGTCACGGCCACCTACCTCCTGCTGGGCAGGAAGAACGAAGTGAGTGCGGGCCCGGGGGAGCCTGGGGTCTGATCTGGGGGTGGGGAGGATCCGTGGGGAACCTGTGACGCGTTTCCCCCCCAGGATGCAACTTGGAACTGGGGTATCGCTGAACCCTCTGTCTCACCAGCCTGGGCTCCCTTTTAAGTGATTATAAGTAACGGCATACAGATCAGAGTACGTTACCATAAGAAATCAAACAAAACCGCAATCCAAGTTCTCTAAACTGGCTAGGATTAGATAGTTATATAGTACAATCTGTCCGCCCAGCTTCCCTACACAGGCAGGCTTCCTTCTTTCCTGCCTGGGACCCCCCTTCCCCTGTTCAGTCTTTGTTCCTAAGGTGTTTCCAGGTGTTGTGTTGTAGAGGGAGTGAGGCACCGCGTGTTGAAGTCACTTCCCCCTTTTACAGTTTATTCCATGTGGAAGGAACTTCTTTGTTTCAAGCCAAGCTCCCAACCCAGTTTGTGGAAAACTACAGGCACTAAAATGGAGTCCAGTGTCACCTTATCTAGTCACATGCCCTTGCATGCTTCGATGAGTCATGGCAGCCATTACTCATTCGCTGACTGAAGCGTCCACAGGTGAGGATAAGCTTTTCCCATGGCCCGTTGTCTTTGTTGATGGGCCATTCCACTCGGACAGGCCAATCCCAACGTGCTGGCGAGACTGGACGTAAAGCTTTGTGGGTGTTATCCAGGAGCAAACACATTTGACAGACAGGTGCATAGTCAATATTTATAACTCCAAATACAAACATGATGCATACAAATAGGATAATCATATCCAGCAAACCATAACTTTTCCATTGACAC